AAAAAGTCACTTTTACAGGACTTCTCTGTCTCCTCTCAGGAAAGAAACCTGTGGCGATGACAATTTTCCGCACAGTCACAGAGAGGGGGCAGCCACCTCCGTCCTACCGACAGCAACCGGGACGAGCCAGCGCTGCTCCGGCACCGGCTCCTGCCGAGGCATCAGCGGGAAGGAGACCGCGGGCAGCCGCTCCCGCAGCGGCCTCAGGGCAGGGGGAACACGGKGGAGATACAGGACAACGAACCCGCCAGAGGCCCCCCTGCTGACCCCTCCGCCTACAGCGAGCCCCGAGCCCCGGCACAACCGAGCGCTTCTCCCACCTGCGCTGAAGCCGCCTCCGAGCTCCGCCGCCGCCTCACCGCGCTCTGGCAATGGCGCGGCTTCTACACCTCAGGCGGCCGGGGGGCGGGATCGCTCTGACCAATCAGCGAGCGAGATGCAAAAGAGTGACAGCAGGATCAGCCAATCGAAGTGAATGGCGGGCTCTGCACACGGCACAGCCCCGCCCCGCGCTCTCAGGCCCCGCCCCCGCGCTGTGTGAGGGGAAAGCCGGAGATCGGATCCGCCTCAGAACGCGCCGGGGCCAAAGTCGGGATTTATCTGAAAATAGGAACAAAGTTCTCCGGAGCTCCCGGTCCGACTTTCTCAGCCCTACGTGTTGAGTTGCTCCGGCTCAAAGGGAACAGCCATGGGGCCTCAGTTCTCCTACCCCCTAATCAGGAGCATCAGTGCATCGCTTTGATTTCCCCCAGGAAGGGAAATTCCTTCCAAATCCCTTTGGCTGAGTGCAGATTTCAGGCACAAAACTGCCCAGATTTTTGTTGTTCAGGTTGGGAAGAACAAACCAAAGCAAACTGAGCTGGGACCCCGCAGCAGCGCCTCTGTGCCGGCCCAGCTGAAGCCCTCGCTGGCTGCTCCAGGGTGCACGGGCAGACTGGGAGCACTGGGAAGGGGCCCCAGCTCGGGGCGCAGCCCCCGGGGCAGCTCCACGGCCCCCACGGCAGCTCCAAGGCTCCTCCAGCCGGGATGGAATGAGGGAAGGGGAGCAGGGAAGGGACGGGGCTGCTGGGGCCAAAGGGACATGAGGGATAGCGGGGGCACTTCACAAACATTTAATTAAAAAAAGTAATAAAATTATGAAGAATAGAGCTCGCAAGCAACATTGGCACTCTAAACACTGATGGGGATCATACGGACATTACAGAGAATCCTCTGAGGTAGAAGGGATCCACATCAATCGAGTCCACCTCATAAGCGTCCAACCAACACTGGCATTATTTTTCACCCTGCTCCAACGAAGTTCCCTTTCCTATGGAAGCACATGTTTTAAGTCTGTATCCACAGTGTTGTATTAATATCTATAAGGTTAGTGTTTAAATATGTTGTTAGAAGAACATGCAAGTCTCTATCCACAGTGTTATATCAATATATATATATAT